AGCTGTTTACAAAGCTCCGCTGCTTTTTAATTAGTTTAGTTTTTCTTTGAAAATATGCGCTAGAGGGACATCTTTGACCATTGCGCATCGCAGCTTTTTCAAAGTGTCGCGCTTCTCCATTCATCAGGGCTGCGACTCTGCAGTTGGATACTATTATGCGCGTCTCGTGTTTATAAGAGCAAAACATTCTGATTGGCTAGTAATGTTAGTTTGGTTGAGAGTGAAAGCTGTGCTCCTCTCATACTATTGGTAGGCGAACTCGTGGACTCGAAAGTGATATCAACAAGTTTTTTTTAAATGTAGGATTATTTTTTTCCGCAGTCAAACGCTGCATGCCGGAGATCCGGCACGGTGCCGGAGAACTTTAAGCCCTGCAAATAGTCTTCTACAACCAACTATACACAAGTTGCCAACTACAACTCCAAAATACTACTATTAAATTCAACACACAGTGGTTCACAAAATCCAAAAAGAGGTATTCAAATGGCCATCTTACACTGAACATTAAAATACGCTGCAACCTCTAATGAGCTAATTACTGCTTCATAAATACCTTTAGGTTGCATAATATGGAGATGCACTTAGTGCTGTGGGTGTGACACCTTTAAAAATGCTCAAACACAAAGAATCACACACACACACACACACACACACACACACACACGCCACAAGTAAACACTCCTGCTGGCACTGAGACTGACATATCTCTCTCAAGCTGTGCGTGTGTATTAGAGGTCGTAGCAGAGAAACAGTTGTCACTGTGGGGGCAACACATCAGCACACGCCGCCTGCTGCAGTTAACAGCAAACAAACACCGCCACTCTGAAATGGCCTCATTAGCGCTAGCAGCGCTGCCGGATCTCAACTCCTCTCTGAGGTTATATAAAGTAGAGGTATGTTTGTGTGAAAGAGTGGAGACTGACATATCTCTCTCAAGCGGTGTGTGTGTGTGTGTGTGTGTATTAGAGGTCGTAGCAGAGAAACAGTTGTCAATGTGGGGGCAACACATCAGCACATGCCGTCTGCTGCAGTTAACAGCAAACAAACACTGCCACTCTGAAATGGCCTCATTAGCGCTACAGCAGCGCTGCCGGGTCTCAACTCCTCTCTGAGGTTATATAAAGTAGATGTATGTTTGTGTGAAAGAGCGTGTTATTGTGTAGACTTTTTTGCTAGCATGTGTGTGTTTAACCTGCTGTTAGTCACACCTGTTCTCCATGTCGGCGCTGCACTTGGGTGACAGAAGCTCAAAGGACTTGGTGAACTTCACCACCTGCAGGAGACATTAAAGCGAGCAGGATTAGAGGGATGCGGCAGGAAGGGGACGGGGAGGAAGAGGATCAGATCGCACCGGAGATTCGATGTCCTCCAGCAGCTGGACGGAGCAGCGTTCACACTTCAGCAGCGTCTGAGCTCGATGCATGATCTTCCTCACGATCTTCTCCAAATCGGTCTGCTCCTCGAACAAATCGTTCACAACCTCCAGAAGAGCCTACACACATGGACACAAACAGAGAAACACACTTAATCAAAGTATATGAATGCAATGCAAATACAAGTACAATTAATGCGTCAATGCATTCACAAATACGCATGGCATTCGGTGTGTTTCTGCAAGGACCCTAAAGCAGGAATTAGAGTAAAGTTTATTTTTCTATGGCCAGTATCAGGTCGACTGCATGTTCATAGGGACAATTCATAAAATCTGTCATCATATACTCACCCTAATTTCATTTCAAACCCATTTCCTTTTCTTTCTTAAATATACATGTTTTTCCCCCATGCAGTTGTAATTAATGGAGACAGAAGCTTTCAAACTTCATAAAGGACTTAAAAGCACTTAAAGGCTTGCAGCAAAATTTAGTTTAAAAGGGATTTGGGGGTATTTTTCTATTGATTGTGGCAGCAGTGATTAATTAAATGATGAGCAAATTATGGAAAAGAGCAGTATAAATGGGCAAACCCTTAAAAATGCAGTGTGCTTAATTGCACTGAATGTGCACTTGTAGTGTACTTAAAATCTTAAAGTATATAAAAAAATCAACTTAAAGATAATTAAAAGGTTTTTAACTTTTAAAAAGTGCACTTTGCAATAATGTCAAAAGTTTTACTTTTTTTTTTAAAAAATCGTTATCATTTAATAATCTTTTGTCATGCTTTAAAGTACACTTGTTTTGATGTGTTGACTAACATACTAAAGCACATTTTAACTGTAGTGTCTTGATATCACATTTCAATGTTAAAATTGTATTAGTGTATTATGTTGTATTATATATAACACCGAAACGGCTTGCTGTGAACGGAGCTGTTTTTGACGAGGTAAAACACTTGTTGTTTTACACGACCATTGAGGAATTTTTACCAAAGTATGTTGGAGACATTTCATTAATAAATGTATTAATTCAAAGATTAATAAATACTGTTAATTTTAGTTAATGCATTAAATATAGTTAACAACTGGAACCTTATTGTACAGTGTTACCTTTTAATTCAATTGGAATTAAACTACAATTAAGTGTCTGAAAACATTACATTCAAGTATTTTAAATATATTATTTATATAATATATAATAAATATATTATTTCCATAATAATTGCTCTTTTTGAAAGTATACTAAAGTGTATACTAAAGGGTATGTCCAGATGTATTGAAGGAGTCTGGTTTGCAGTGGAAGACTGATGTGGTAAAGTCTCAGCAAAATATGCCAGATTGTAGTAATCTGAAGCACACTACAAAAGCTAGTACTCAGAACCGCCATGCAAGATGGGGAACCGCACTGTGTAAGATGAATTCAGCCTTAATTTCCTGGATGTCTTTGCGCTGTTATGCCTGATTTGCATAATTCCTTTAGTGAACTGGCTGCTAAAACATCAAGTGTGTGCAAATGACCTACTCTATCAGCAGGCACCATTCATAGTAAACTCCCTCTACTATGAATTATGTTAATGACTTGATGCCAGCAGTGGTTCTCCAAGTTCACACATGATAACAGAGCAAGCATCATTAAAATCACTCCCAGCAAACAGTGCATACACTGAATGATCACTTGAGGTCCCTCACTTTCTGCTTTCATCTTTTTCATTCTCTCTCTCGCTACTTCATTCTTGTTTTCTGGCATTATGTTCTTCTGTGATCGATATTTAAAATGTGTTGATGACGCTGTAAAGACGCCACAACTCAGATTTATGCTTCTCCAGCCACACACACACATCTCTTCTTGATTCAAAACCTCTCGATGCAGGAACAGAGTGTGTAGGAAGCAAAAGATCAATAGACAGATACACACGTACTACGTAATAAACACCCACATGACATTTATAGCGCACACACACACACATGCACAGTGCTGTCTTGTTACAGTAGGAGGGGTGCAGAGATATAATACGGTTTTAATGAAGTGCTGAAGTAAGTGTGTTCTTACCCTGCTCCTGTCGTACTCTTTCCTGGAGGCAGCGAAGAGCTGGGCGTTTGAGATGGCGATGCCACAGAACGGCAGGTACATCTGCAACACCTGCACAGACACAACAGTGTTTAGAAGTGTAGAGTAGGGATGCACCGATAGGATTTTTTGGGGCCGATACCGATACCGATTTTAACAATCACTTACATGAATATGACAGTGGGCAAATGCATAAAGCGCAGCATAATTTAAAATCACAAGTTTAAAGTTTGTTGAAATTGGATTGGATCCATTTAACATTCAGCAGGCCTACATAAATACAACAGAACAAAGATACATATTAAATAAACAGTGCTTTTTAGGTAGGTTTAACAGTTTTCAGGTACAGAAATAAAGTAAACAAATGTAAAATAACACTTCACTGTATAAATTAAATACTTATTAATCCTTCTTTATTGTAACAGACTTTATTGTGATTAATCTTCTAATTTGTTTTTGTATACATTTTAATATTTTTTGTAAGTTTAAATATGTATGAGATCTCCTTTACTAAGGCGGGACTCTTATTTTGACGGGTTTTCTAGTCTACGGAGCTATATTTTTCCAAAAAGACTCATGGCTGTATTAGATCAAATGGGTGCTTCTACTAAATACTGAGCATTTTTCAGTTTTTCTTTTTTAATAAATCTGCAAAGATGTCAACAATTCTGTGTTTTTCTGTCAATATGGGGTGCTGTGTGTACATTAATGAGGAAAAAAAATTAACTTAAATGATTTTAGCAAATGGCTGCAATATAACAAAGAGTGAAAAATTTAAGGGGGTCTGAATACTTTCCGTACCCACTGTATATATTAGCAAACCAAATTAAGCAGAAACCCCTCCTTGCAGCAATTTCACTGGCCAACTTAATCATCTAGTCATCTGTTAAGAAAAGTTCAAACTTAAGAAAAATCACAAATGATCCACTGAACATTATGTTTAGGGTTAGGAGTTTCAGCATTTATATATCTTTGACTGACATGACCAATGAAACCTACAGAATCATCTACCTGCTGGGGTTATTTTAAGATAAACTGCTTAGCTTTTTAGATGTTTTAAACACTTCACCTTTAAATGGAAATGGGTGATTGAAAGAGGAAAACTGAATAAAGAGAGAAAGAAAAAAGGCAAAAGGAGGGGTATTTGCTGTGTTAAGGCCGAGGGGTTTGCAGTGCTATCAACCCGTCACCAACTGATTCAGTGCTGGATTAATGTCTCCACGGGCACGTCACGGGCGGGGTGACGTAGCGACCAGGAAGCATAAAAGCACGTGCGGTGAAACCGGCGTCGGCTTCTAGGAGTGAAGCAAGCACTGGCAGGGATGCCGGAAGTATGGCCCTGAGACGCAGTTGATGATAATGCAACTGAGAGAGAGAGTTTAATGTGCACTTCTCGTGCTGTGTTTTGTTTAGCTTTTATGGTGATTTTTTTGGAGTGAAAAAGGACGCAATAAACTTAATAAAACATCAGTAAAGTTTTGGTCATCATTCAAATGAGGTCCGCTTCACTTATGAAAGTTACAAAAGTTATTTAGTCAAGAATACTATGCAATCTTGTGTCTTTTGTTGTAAATTGAGGAAAAATCGACTGATAAATATCGGCGGCCGATACATCGGTGCATCCCTAGTGTAGAGTCAATGCGAGTCTAAGGTGATTGCATAAACACCAGAACAAGTCTATCCAAAACCCAAAGTGGTTTTAGCCTTGCAAAGTACTGTACCAGTGGTTACAGCTAAATTACATTACTAACCCTAAGCCTAATCCTCAAGAGCAAATTTGTAATTAACATACTTTGAATGATTTAAATTGATATGCGAGTTCATTCTGGTAGTTTTACTCATGTTTTAGTGTATTTTAATAAATCTAATTATAAAATCTACTGATTAAAAATGTAATCAAATTTACTGCATTATATGCCCATTAATTCATCAAATTAATCAGCATTAATGACATAAAAAAAACTATTAGAATTTGCAGAGAAAAGCCTACAAATGAAGATAATTCAAAGCCTACAAACATACTGAAAAAAGTGAAATGACTGCGTCATTTAATTAAAGTGCATTTTTATATTGGTCTAATAATAATAATTAAATGGTTTCCTATATGAACCTCTGTTTAAATATTAAAGAACATATACTTACTGCAGAAATTATTGTGGTTTTTATTTTATTTATTTATTAGTACATAGCAGAAAATATTATGCATATTTAAAAAAAAGACACCACAATAAACATTTTATTATATTATATATTTTAATACTTGTCTTTATTTACTGTATAGTAAGTAAACCAAATGAAACGATGACTAACAAAATGTTAGTTTTATCTTAAGTAAAAACTCTACTTTCATATTATAGCTAATTTATGTCTTATATTGACCTACATTAAGTAACATTTTGGCTCATGTCTATAGAAAATATATTAAGTATGGAATTTATGATAAATATAATAATACCTTTATAATATCTTTTTACTTTGTATGATTGTTTTTGTCTTTGGGATAAGAGCTATTTTTGATTAATATTACATTTTATAATATACATTTTTTTTTTATCCAAGTTGGTCCAAAGTAGTTTTTTTCAGTGCATTATTATTTGGAAGAAAATATATATTTTTTCAGGTTTCTCAACACACTATGCCCATTTGCCATTGGTCAATCAATCCTGAATCCAACTTACATGTGGGGCCTGCCGTCCCGAAGGCCAACTTCTGGAGGAGTGAGCCTTGATCCCCAAAGGAGAGGGAAGATCAGAGGACTCAAGGCTATGGAATAGCATCCTGATCCACCTTTTAGCATAAGCTTCTCTGGCCTCGGCCTCGGCCTCAGCGCACCGCGGAGGAAACGTGTAAGAAGACAATTAATTACAACATCCATTGGACTGATTACACATGTGATTCAGAGCGTGGTCATGCTGGAGGCGTTCCCGTAGCGTTTCGACACAGCTTGAGTTCCTGAAGGGGAACATACATACTAACACACAGTTGTGCTCAAGGGCCACATTCACTGGAGGTCTTTTCTATAATTGTTCTCAGTTTTTCTCTCTCTCCCTCACACACACACACACACACACACACACACACACACGTTCGGTTTCCATGTTTTATGGGGACATTCTATAGGCGAAATGGTTTTTATACTGTACAAACAGTATTGTCTATCGCCCTATCCTACACCTAAACCTTCCCCTAACAGAAAACTTTCGGCATTTTTAGATTTTCAAAAACTTCATTTATGATTTAGGCTATAATCTTGTTTCCTCATGGGGACCAAAAAATGTCCCCACAAGGACAAGGATTTTGGATATTGCCATCTTTGTGGGGACATTTTGTCCCAATAACGTTTACCAGGACCACACATAAGGCGCTTTCGCACCGAAGGAACCTTTTCATAGTTCCTAGAACTATTGGCAGAAGTTCCCGTTTTTTGTCATGTTTGCGCGGCAGGAACTAGGAATTGTTTTAGTTCTAGGAACTTCATTTGGAAGGACTAAATTAGCTCCTACTTCAGAGTAGGGTCTAAAACAGTTCTATATGAACTACCAGTGACGTAAGTGCACGCTGATTGGCCAAACTCATACGAAACACCAGCAACCCGGCATTTTTAAAAAGCCATGTAAAAATATATTTACTCCACAATCATGGAAAACAGGGATAACAGCATTTACCTGTTGTCTGCAGCGTTGTGTTCTTTTCTCAACCTTGATGATAAAACTGCAAGTTGTCACAGAAGATTTAGTCAGATTTTCATGCGTTTTAATTGCGTAAATTGTGCGTTTACATAACATCTCCGTTATCACGAAACCCACAACACACAACAAAAACAGCTCCGATCACGGCGTCCTCCATTCACTGGTTATTGGTGTTTGTAAATGCCGTGAATAAAGAGTTCCTGCTGCCGGTGGGAATGCAACCAGGAAAACGTCCAGAGGGAGAAATTGGTTCTCGAGGAACAACCCTGCTGGCTAGTTCCTAGAAGAACTATGTGGTGCGAAAGCACCTACACACAAACACACACAGACAAATGTTCCTTTTCAGACATCCTAGGCATTTAAGACAAATCTACAAGAGGATTATTCCCATCTTAAATCATTTGAGAATAAGTATTGTCACGTCAGCAGAAGACATTCAATCACCCATAATGCACCTGAAAATCAAAGCCTTTATCCCTGTAAAGCCTGACATATGAAATAATAGTGCGAAACAATTTATTGAAACTTCAGACAAAATCTAGTTTGCATATGTGTGTTTTATTAGTATTATATTTGATATATCAAGCTTTTGTTGCATATTGCATAATAATAGTGAGAACATGGAGCACATATTTTAGGAGTAAAGACACTACAATTTTATTCAAAGGCCCAAACTAAAACATACTCAATTTGGTGCAGAGACTGATATTTATATGGTCAAAAAGTGAGATAAAATTCTCATAGTTTTTTAATAAATTAGATCTTTATAACAGCATGAAATACATGTAAATATCAGCTGTCAATCTCACAATAATGTCTTAGTAAGATGATATTTAAATGCTTAATTTTATGATCAAAGCTCTATATTTTGTTATTGTGACAGCAAAACATAATGCAATGCAATACAATGATGACTGAGAGATGAACATATCCTCAAATCCTAAAAAACCTGATGATCATATTTGATACATTTTCATATGATTTAAAAAAAACAAAAAAACTATTAGACATAGTCAAATAAATCTAAGTTGCTTCAGTCCAGTTGTCAGACTCTGTTCCGTGTTTCATGTGTGTTTTGCTCCCCCACGTGCTCCAGGTTATGTCCATGCCCATATTTGGTCCTTCCTGTTTCCTGTTTCCTGTTTCCTGTTTCCTGTTCCTATTATGTTTATTGATCCCAGGTATTTCTCGTCTTCCCCTTGTCATGTCTTGTGTATTGAAGGTGTTTCCTGTTTTGAGTTCTCTGTCCGGTTTTGATCGTCTATCCCTGTGTCCTGCATGTGGTTTTCTTTGAATGTTAAATAAAGTCTGTGATGATTCTCCTTCGTCTCCTTGCTCCTTCACAGTTGGCACACGTGACAGAATACCGGACCAAAACGGTAA